CCTGACTTGAACTGGCTGTGTTCATACCTTCAGCAGAAGCAGAGACGAACATCTTTGTTAGTTCACAGATTTGACTTAATTGGCTCTTCAGGAAGTGGCCTTTAAGTCACAGCTCATCTCGAGCATGAAGTTGAATTTTGTGAGAAAATAACGCTGCTAATGGTGGCGCTTAACAAGTGCTTACTTTCTAATGCCAGTAAGTACATACCGAAACATACAGTACGCTTGACTGTCCAGAGGTTTGCATTTAAATGATACACTTGCTTTAAGAAATAATTTAATGAATTACTTGAAAATTATTTTTTCATCAGTGGGCTGATTTTTATCTTGCATATATGCAGTATTTTATTCATATTTATTTAGAAGCAAAGTAGGCATGCCCCTATTTACAGTCATCAGAAACCTTTGGGTATCGAAATGGAAAGGCCTCGTCCTTGAGAACTTTGTATTTTAGAAATTTGCCCATAAAAGTTCCTCCATAGTTACATTATTGTGCATTTCCTTGAGTACTTTAATGCGCTTGCTCATGTCCTGCTTCTATAAATACTGTGAAGTTCTTGCTTTGTGGGATATTGCTTTTTAAGGGACACCACATGAGAGCACTGGAATCAAGTTCAGAATTTAGAGGAACAGCAGCCAGCCCATTCCATGGCACGGTTTCTTTGAGGCAAATGATCAAATTCACTCTTAAAAATCCTTGAGTTTCTGTCAGTCTTGTTCATGAAGTTATCAGCACTCCTTGCCTGTATGATTGCCATCACATTTAGTAGATTATCGAGGATATGCACAAACTCAACTCTGCTGCAGTAAAAAGGATCTTTAGGAAAAAAAATCAAAGTTGAGGTTTCAAGAGTAGATGATAGAAGACTTTTCTTTCTCCTTCTGTTAAGTTGTAGCTTCCATTTTCCGTGCAGTTCCATTTGTAATGCCAAATCGTTGGATGAAGGTTGAGTTGTCATGAAGGAGGTGGTCTTGGGAATTACCACGTGTGCAAGGCCAAGCACAAAAGGATCAGGAGCAGAATGAAATGGAATAGCACGTTTGGGTTAGAGAACTGAAGGAGATGAGGGGAATGACAGAAAGAGGTGATGAAAGAGCCGTGGCCTGGTGATTTAACCTGAATAGAAATGAATGTGACAGGTGCTTAGACACGGGAAGTAGTGTGGTGCATCTTAGGAAGAGGGGAAATGGACGCAGGGCAGCAGCACAGCAGTTACAGCTGCCCTGGTGCTGCCTGCTCAGCCCGCTGCCCTGGCCGTGTCCCAGCTCCACGAGGCTCTGCTCACACCCAGGTTTGCCAGCTCCTCTCTGCTGCTGTTTGTTTTCCTGCCCCGTGGGTCACAGTTTGTTGAACAGTTTTGACGTGAGAGATGTGACGTGGTGCTTCAGGATGCCCAGTGTTCCCCGGAGGGAAGATGAGTCTCCATTTACTCAGCAGTTCCAAGGAAGGATTTGCTATGAACGGCTGTGGGCGTGAGCTTGAATGCTTCAAATGAGTGTAGCTTGCAATTCTTAGAATATATCTCAAGTTAAGAGAAGAATGAAACCAAAAAATGGTTATGAAAACCAAGAAGCCAGTATTGTGTCTGCAGAGGCATAAATTAGTGTGTGAATGGACGTGGTGATAAGGAAAGGCTTCCTTCTGTGACCTGGTTTTAATCTACAGGCTGACACTGTGAAGCAAAGTAATGTGATTATGCTGGCTAGCTTTCATGGGGAGAAACCACCACACAAATAGATGACTTGCTGTGTAGGGTTTCAATGGTTAAACAAGCTCACTGAGATAGAAAATGGTATTGAAAGCAAAAGAGGAAGGGGTGAGCTGGATGTTGATAATGTAAATGACGACTGTATATGAACCAGGTAAGCGAAGATGGCTGTGAGAAGAATGACTCAAATGATGGTGAAAAGAGGGGAAAAGATCTGAGAAAAGTCTGTTCCTCATCTCCTTCTCACTTAAACTTCACCATTTTCCTATGCTCATAAATTGTGACCAGCTATGAGATCAGATGATGCAATAGAAAAGATTTAGTTCTGTTTTTACTCTATGGTTTTTCTATACCAGAGGCTGAAAACCCCTGATTTTTTTTGTCTGAAGTCTTGCTGAATGATTTGTGTTGTGACAGATAAAGCAAAGAAATGATTTGTTGCAGGGCCAGTGGCAAAGAAGTCCTGCTAGCCCTCAGCCAATGGGAGAATATTAGCATAACTTCTGTCCCCTCTGCTGTCACTAATGCAACAACAGCAGCAGGTGGTTGTTTGGATCAGGGTAGTTTTGTTTCCAGCAGCTTTTTGTATTTCTCATGTTCTTCAAACACTCTGAGCTGTCTTGGTTTTTTCCATCCCCACTGTGAAATACAGAAACTGTACTTTCGCTGTGTATTTGTGAATCACATCGGGAGACATTTTTCCCCAGGTCAGCAAGAAGCTGATGTTGAGTGGAAACTCATATGTATGTAGGTCGCTCCAGATGTAATGCCTCCTATTTATTTCCATGGAAAGCACTGCAGGTACAAAGAGCATAATAACACTGCTTGGTAGAGCAAATTCTCAGCCACCAAACTATTTTTCAACACGGTCACCACCGTGAGCTGTGCATTTTTGCCAGCAAACAACAAGCACCTGCATACAACAACCCGTGTGAGCGACCAGAGTCAGTGTCACTGCTGGAATGCGTTGCCCACCCCTGTCTGTGCTCACACCCACTGTTTGGTCTCCACAAACCTTCAGCAAGCGTTGAAAAATGTCAGTGAGTGCTATTTATTCCGAAACACCTTTGTTTTGTGCACACTTCCAATGTCCAATGCCACTTTGTCAGAGTGCCCCTCTGCTGCCGTCTGTCACACGGCAACAGCACGTCACAGAAAATTGCTGGCAAGGTTCAGCCTCTACTGCCATCCCACCAACATCCACCTCTGACATCGTGGACCAACAAAATAAAATAGGAGGCATTACTTTTGGAGCATCCCTCATTCCCATCCTAAAATCTTGCATGCATTGAAAGGTTTTTTTTTTTTCTGGGTTCCGAACTTCCAGTGATCCCCGAGATTAAAGAGATTTCAGTTTATTTGTAGAGAAACGTATCCCTTGAAAATAAGAAATGTTAATCATAAACATATTTATTTTTAAGATAATTACTCTTGTTACAGATGAACATATGTGGACCATAACACTTAGCCAGACATTCTTTACTCGTTCAGTTTTGATTTAAGTTTGTAAACCATTGTGTCCTTCATTTTAACATGTGGAACAAAAATCTCTCAATTCCCCTAGAATTAGTTAATAAATATTTTTGAATTCCTGAAATGCCTTAGGATGCAAACAAAGCACCGGAAGAATAAAACATGTTACTGTTGTGTTTAGGAAAAATCTGATTCGTCGTACGTGTTAATAGCTTAGGTTAGAGAGTGTGAGAATATAGCTTCTGAAAACGGTAGAGTAGGGAATTTGATGATGGAGAAGGAAATTAAATAATTTAATTTATAATTAACATTTACTATTCGGACATATTTAATTGGGTGATACGCCCTTTAGCAAAGATCACCCGTATCATCTTCATTGAAAAATACTATTTACTTCATCAAGGATAGCGCTGTTACTTCTTTGCACAGAAAACAAGGTAATGCCTTTTCCCCTACAAGGTGCCGTGTGTTCAGTCAGGATTTCCATCATCTGCTTAGTGATTTGTTCAGACAGGAGTATTAGAATGATGAAGACAGAGCTTACGCTTTGTAAGCAGTTCAGTGCACTGAGAGTGTTAGATGTCACAGGTATTACAGCACATAGCCAGAGTCTTACAGATCTCAGCAAACACATTTGGAAAGTTAAGACTCTTTCACTCATTAAAGGCTCCTCCTGGTTGAGGCTGTCACGTCGGTGACTTCGAGTGCCAACGCAGCCGCATCGCAGTCTGAGTACTGCAGTAACAGCACCAGAGGTGTTCATGCCTACGTCATGACTTGCTGTACTGCTGTGCGTTCGTGAGAACACCCCTGGTTCCCACAGTGTATCTTTTTGAGCAGCCGTCGTAATTTGTTGGGAAAGTTTTTGTTGATGTATCTATAAAGCAAAGGCATCACGAAGCTGCTCGAGAAAGCCAAGAATTTGGATAAAACCTTGGTAAAATGTAATATCCAACTGTAGTTTTCATCTGCAGGTCTTCCTCGTGCGTAAGTAAATGTGCTTACCAAAAGGGTAACGTAATAGGGTGTCCATAACGTGAACTGTGTACAGACTGTGGCAATCAAAAGCCTGTGCACCGATGGATCTAATCGTCCAGTGTCTTGATCCAGAGGTGTCGCCTCTTTGCGTATCCTCAGGATCAGAATCAGTGCATACAGTACTGCGACAGCCGGAACGACGTACCCGATAAACACCATGATGGCATCCGCTGCCTCTTTGTTCTGCATCTTGGAACATTCAATTATTTTAGTGGATACGTGGTTGCAGACGTAGAACAGAAGAGATGAGAAACTCGTGAGCATGGCTCCTCCCCATATGAATCCACAGACGTGCTTGGTGTTGTACACGCTGGACATGTAAGTTCTGGGTAGGGCGCGTTCGATGTAGTAGTCCAGACTGAGCAATGTGGTAGAGTACATGGTAACCAAAGATGAGACGTTGAACAAAATAAGCAAGGTGATATAAACTTCGTTGTTAGAATTCCAGATGGCCCATTTTGTGTTGGCAAGACCTAGGAGGTACATTGGTGCCAGGGTGTTGATGATGAGACCAGCAATGGCGATATTGACAAAGTAAACATCGGGCATCGTCATGGTCGCTTTGTTGTACAGGTTGACCAGGACCAGCAGGCCGTTGTAGCACAGGCCAATTGGGAAACATATGATGAGGTAGAGTAGGGAAAAGATGGACAGCACGAAGTGGAAGTCCTGGCAGAGATGCTGGTCCTCGATGTTGTCAGTACTGTTTAAGGTTTCACAGCTCCACATAGTGATTTTAGCTCTTGTATCTTCTCTGCTGGTTACCAGCTTTTCTGTAGAGAGAGAAACAGGAATAGTGTTCAGATATTGCAGTGTAAGTGAAATGCAATGTTATGTGAAGAAAACACACTTAAGATCACGCAGCTCACGTAACCAATGACCAAACTGACCAGTTTAAGGTCAGTGATGGAAATTCTTTTCCATCTCACTATAGGAAGTCACCCGTGTTTCAAAAATTTCAGGTGACTGCTAAATGAATGTACAAGTTTCAATTCCTTAAGAGGAAATCAGTGGCAATGAGCTGAAAAAAAAGAAATACCAATGTGATGCACAGCAATATCAGTACTTCTTAAAATTACGAAACAGCTCCTTTATTTAATACTGTGCAAATGTAGTTGCTGAAGAATATATAAGAGGAGCTACAGATCTCAGCAGTAAGATGGAAAATAGAAAAATCTGCATGGTTTTATGTGGCAAATACAAACAAGTTTTCTCTCAAAGTGATTGTTAGAAGGCACAGCTGAGGCAGTCTGGTGAATGGATGCTGGATCAGTCGCTGGTAAGGCAAGAGGAAACTGGGAAATGAGGTGGAAGGTTTGTTTTTTTTTTTTGCTGGCTTTTCTTTACAACTTTCTATTCAGATTTCAAACCTACAACCATTTAGTACTGGAAAAACAATGGATCTCTGTAGTCTAGGGAACCTAATAGGAGGGCAGCCTGTATTTCTAAAACGACAGGAATTAACTATCATTTCCTCCTGCAATAGCTTAAATTCTTCAAAAAGTCAGCTAATATCAGTAGTCATTGTCCAGCTGTCCTTTGTCATCAGAATTCAGAAGACTCCTCAAAGCCATCGTCTCTTTCTGAAATGCAGAAATAAGAAATCTCTAAAGCAATCTCTAAGGTACAACTGGAAACATTCAAGGCCTTCAGATCATGGCTGTCATTCCTTTCCTAGGACAGCGTGGCTGGCGATTTCACGTGTCAGATGTAGTCTGAGATGGTCAGATATGCAGCACTGTGTTCTTTCAGCAGGTACAGAAAAGTACACAAATGCATTCTTTCCAGCGAGAGAACAAGATTAAATTGAATCCACATGAAGCATTGTGCAATTAAAATGAATGTCACTAGACAACATGCTGTACTCAGTGAACCATATGGCTGAATGATGCACTGTGGGTTTTGCAACCACTGGGAGATGTGCAGTTCCATCTCTGTAGCGTTAATCCTCTGACACTTCAGCTGAAGTCCAGAAGAATATGTTCCAGAATCATGTCCAGTTCCATTTTATTTCCCACTGCAGTTGTTTTGTGTGCACTTTCTTCTAAGTAAGCACAGCCAGATAGCAGGATAAAGTACAGCCACTTAGCTGGGCAGATAAACCTTTATTTCACAGTCTGATGCCAGATTTTCTCAGGTAAGAGATGTCTTTAACAGTAGCACAAGATGCAGGTCTGTTGTATGCAAAGATTTATTTCACCTCTGGATAAAAACCTCCTTTTTGTTTGCATTCTCAGACCAGTTCTTTAGCATGAGTGTTGCATAGATGTACAAACCGTGGTATCTTTATACTGTCCCTTAATCCTCATTCTATTTTGAACACTGTAAACAACCCAGTGAGTCTTCAGGAAGCATCTGGTGTGTTAAAACTTGAAAAAAGAAGAAGAAAAGCTGTCTTGCACAGTCAAAGGCAACCAAAATTCCATCTCATTGAACTGCTCTGGCTTGATTCAAGCAACGCAGCAGACTGGAACAAGATATTGCAAACATATGCATTACAGTGAGTGCAAGGCTGACTAAGCACAGGCATGGGTACAATCATGTAGTTCCATTATGTAGGTTTACCCTTAAGCACATAACTTTGATTACTACAGACTGAGTTACATCAGCCGTGAGCACTTGCCTGTGTATTGTCTCAGAAGGAAGTCAGCAGCCTTTGCATTCTGTGTGTGTGTTTGCTTTGTGTTTTATAGATTGGTGGGATGTCTGGTTTCGCAACTGCGTGTCATAATTACTCCATTTTCTTGACGTTCTCTAACTGCAGGTAAATTAGTCAGCTCCGTTTTAATGACAGAAGAAGCAGGATATCTGTTAAATAGTAACTTTCTGAAATGGCAAAACCCACCTAAAAAGGAGCACAAATAAAACCCACGCCAAATAACCACACTTTGTTACCCATTCCTGGTAGCCAGGTGAGGCGCACTGACTGCTCACCTTTTCTCCCCACAAAGGCACTGTGCCCCCTGGGCCAGTCCTCACCATGCTCCATGGGCAGGATTCCACAGATCCCCACTGAGCACTTCTCCAGCGAAAGGCAGTTTTTTCTCAGTCCCAGGTTGGCTGTGTTGGGTAGGCTGATGCTGCAGTGCTCTTGTTTACTGTGCTCTGACTCAGCCGTCCCCAGTGCTTCCCCCTCGTGCTGTCTGGGCTCACACTTTTTATCGTATCGCGATCAACCTCAGCGCTTGAAATGGAAACCGAGAGCAAGGCGCGTGTCTTGCCCGCCGCTCGCACCCCTCCAGCCTTACCTTCACCTCACAGCCCTGCAGGCTCTCCTGGGCAGCACTTGCATGGAGGGCATTGCAGGGGACGTGCGTGGAGGGCATGCGGGGAGGGCAGCAGCCAGAGCGCCTCACCGCACCCGCAGCCCATTGCCTCCCAGCCCCAGTGCTGCATGCTGCACTTGTTTCTCCTTCGGTGACTTACTCACCACTCTGGGCTCGGCTTGGCTGTGCGAGGCCCCTCCCTTTGGCTGTTTACAGCCCCGCTCAAGAAGCAAGAGGCTGGGCTTCAGCCACTGGGTTTCCGACTTACTGCCCAGAATGCTTGGGCTGCGGCAGCAATCAGAGCTGTTGGGGGTTGTCGTCTGTGCTCAGGTTCCCTGGGGACATGTGGGAGCCCATTCCCTGCCCTGCGATCCACCGCTCTTGCTCAAGAGCAAGTGTTTTATTTTTAACCTGTGATAAGAATATACGGCTTTGAGGTTTCGCTTTTACAGGCCATACGTCCTGAACAGGCAGTGGTTGAGCACACTGTGCTAAGAAGCATCCCGCTGCTTGTCCTGCTCACAGGGCGAGCTCTGGAAGCTGGGGAGGCAGGTTTCCGGGCACTGATGTGGAATTCAGAGATTGCTTCAGTGTTGTGAGGATACGACAGGGCCCCACTTTGTGATGGTGTCACAGATCCCATCGTGTTTCCTTTTTTTGAGAAGCTGGAAAGATGACTGAGCTCACCGTGTTTGAGTGTTGCACACAAGCAGTGGTGTGCATGTGTTCTCTGTGTCCTTAAAGTGGATCGTTTCTTTTGCAGAGTTTCTGAGCTGTAGGTTGATCGTTAATGGTGTGCTGAATTTTGTGTTCTGCTGTAGCCCCCTCTTGCTGTCCAGATGTTTGGTTTAGTAAATAAATGCTTTTGTCTGCTTGACCTGTATGCGACAGTGCCCTGAAACAGATAATCCGACCTCTGAATATTCTTTTTCACAAACTATAATGTCGTTATAAGCCGTATGTAGCTATAAAGCTGTTGCCAACAAATGAAGTCTCTGCAGATGCTGAGCATTCGTACCTTCCTCGGGTCCTGTAGAGTTCCCAAAGGGTCTCTTAATTTCTGCAGGGACTGAAAGCAAAGCGTGCTGCATGGGGAGGCACTGTGGGACTGCAGGGGTTTGCAGAAGCAGAAGACTGGAAGTCTTTGCCAGAAGCGTTGCATGAACCATGGCTTAGTAGATTCTGGCTACTCATCAGGGTCTGTAAGGTGCATTTAGAAAGTGACATGCTAAGTGTTATTTATGGGTTACTCCTTAAACATTTAAATAGTGGATGATAGGTATTGCAGAAGAATAGCACCCCTGCCATTAGTTGTGCCCCAGGGGGAGCACGCTCTGAACTCTGAAGTGTGAGAGAAAGCCGTCTCACGTTGCTGTTAGCTCCAAGTCTGCATTACATGATGTTTTTTTTAGCTTACCAGTTGATATACGTGTCGTAAGGGTTAACAGAGGAGTCGTTGGCTGGCTGTACAGAAAAGTAAAACTAGATTGTCCAGGTTAGATGAGAGGGGAAAAATGCTGCAGTGCAGGCAAGTAAGGAACCGAATATTCTTTTTTTGTGTGGCTGCTGAGCTGCCATTGTTTGGAATATAATGATATGGCTCAGATAAAATGCTTTAAACATTAGTGTAGAAGAAAATCCTGCTTGATACTGGGTGCTGGGCTGAGAAAAACAGGCCTCTGCCAACCCCATCATTTGCGTCATCGTGGTGCAATCATTGACCAGTTTGACGGGTGGTATGCTTATAATTGATATCAGTTTCATTTTATAATGTAGTTGATCCCATGCAGTACAACGTGAAGGAAGCCATGAGTGGATTACAGTAATAACTGATGCATAAAGTAGCATTAAATCTGACATCCTGCCTGGGATGCTTAAAGCATACAAACAAAAGAGCAGGAGCAGATCAGTGGGGGCGGGGTGGTTTTCTTCCTCTTGCAGTACCGCTTTCCGTTCCGGTCCTGGCAGAGGGAGCACGAGGTTCTTCAGATGATACTCGTCATTTCTTTCTTCTCTCATTCCTATGGGACTTCCTGGGCTGCCTTCGATGCATTCTTAGGCATGTCAAGCCAGCAACGAGAACGGAATTCTCAGAAAGGATGGGTGTATTTCCGTCACACGTGGAGTGAGCACACAGTTGCTCAGGCTTCCAAAGCCACTCTTCTCACTGTGCGTCGGTCATCCTTTGAGATTGCTCGCCCATCTCACTGCTTTTTCAGAAATTCTAAACAAACATCTGCCTGAGAACACTTCACAATTCAGCTCCTTCCCATGGGCCCCGCTCTTGTGATGTGAAGTCTTTTGCTGTTCTGCAGATGGTTTGCAACCACTGTAATCTGTTTGTTCCTTTATTCCATAGACAGCATCATTGTGGTAAATCATTGCATTGCAGCTCCAGCGTAATTCAGAGCCCACTTCTGCTGCCTGGTAGCACCCTACCAACCGTAAATGCAGTTTTTCACTTCCCTTTCAATGTTTTCTTTACATTATTCTATTACTTCTGTATAAATACATGTAGTGCCCTCCAAATGCAAAATATTAACAAAGTCCCATTAGCACACTTTGTTTAGATTGTTAATCTCTTTCCTTGGGAACCTGAGTTCACTTAAGGGCACATCAGAGCTAAGCTGTCTGCAGATTGCCCTCACAGATCAGTATGCATCAGGTGAGTTCAGGTGCTCCTTTGGAAGAAAAAGGAAAATTTGTTTTTAGCTAATGGCAAAGTAAAGCTTGTGAGGGAGAGATAGCCCTGCACTAAGGGCACTGCAGATTGTGCAGGAGGAGCCCCGTGTGTAGAGACAGATGCTGTCTGCCAGGCACATCTGCCTTTATGCAGTTAAGAATCCGGCCCCAGCAAGAGCTGTACTGCCAACAGTGCTCTGCGTGCTTAGCAGCAGCTGCCCAGGGCTCCACAGGGGTTAATTCTGTCACTTGCTGGCTGTCCCTTATCTTAGTGCCCAAATATCAGATGAGTGAGTCTGACTGCTCTCATGCTCCACCTCTTCCTGACTTTGCTTTATCTCTGAATTCCAACAGAGCATCTGCCTGGAAATCTCACCGTCCCTTGTCTGTAACATCTGTGTGTGATGGGGAGGACTTTGCCACAGAGCAAAGTGCAGCTCCTAATGCACACTGAATGTCTTGTGGCGTGAGGTGGGGTCTCTTTCTGCTCGTACAGGAAGGCCAACCTGCCCAGCACAGTGCATTACATGGATCAGCTCAGACAGTGGCTACCAGCATTTGAAACACAGATGTTCTTTTTTTGTGTGTGTGTAAAGATCAGATCATGGAGACATATATATATAAATATCAACTTGAGGAAAGAGAAAATTACAAAGCATCTTTATGCTAAATATCTTCACTTAGATCACAGGTTTGCACATGGTTGGATCTCTGAATCTCCAGCATTACTCAGGATGCAGGAGTAAGCAGTGTCTATGAGCCGCGTGTTATGATTTAAATCAGCATCACTCTGTTAAAGAAGACCAGTCCTTGCCTATCAAAATTAGAGTGAACTATCCCTATTCTTTGTGGGCTGAGCTTGCTGCAGGGCAGTGTGAGAGGCTGGGATCCTGCTGGGATGGCTGTGAGTGAGCCCTTATCTTAACCTTCATTGCTGGCTTCTCCCATGCTCAGGGCTTGTGATGGGAAATGCTGCTCAGAGCTGGCAGCATGGAAGCATTCTCTGCAGGCATTCTCCTGCCTGAATGGCAGGAAGCACAGATGGTAGTTTTCCTGGAAGCTCTAACATCATGCCATTTCCAACTGGAGGCACATGTGAAAGCCAACACCGTGTCTGATCAACAAGGCATCATGTTGGCTGCGGAGGAATGTCTTGTGAAACACTCAGGTTTCTCGTAAATGCAGAAATATTGACATAGCTCTTTTCAAGATAACAGTAAGGATGAAACCGGTTTGAGTCTGGAGTTTGAAGAGAACAGTCTGCCCCTTAGCAGAGCTCTACTATGGCTGAAATGACTTGAAGATTTGTCACATCCGTTGACGATAAACAGATACCTTCCTGATAATTGTCAGCTAAAGTCTGAGACCTCTTGTTCCTGACACTCCTGTGGCTTTTGATTTCTTTTGCTCGGTGAAGGAAATGCCATTTTCCAGCTGCCTCCTTGAGATGAACTGGCACATCTAATGATTTAGTTGTACTCCACTTGTAATTGCTGAATACAGTATTTTAACTGAAGGTTTTAGGAGGGCTAGTATAATATTAATGCTGACGTTAGGATGACTGTTCTTATGAAGATCTGGAGTAGGAATTTCATTTACAAGGAGCTTGAAATTAATCAATGCATCTCATTGGCACAGAAGGCTCGGATTTGTCCACCTATTGCTTGTCTGCTGCAGCTCCCCTCTCCACTACACCAGCGCTGGGGGGTTTGCCTGCTGTTCAACATTTTCAGTTGATTGACAGTGTTAATCACTTACAGGGCTCCCTGCAGCACTACATGTATGGAACAATCCATCAGACTCCATGGAGGCAGCGCTGACCCTGATGGCTGACTGCTGTAGGACGTTTGCTGGGCACTGGAGACGTGGCAGTGCTCAGTTTGCCTTCACAGGTGTGCAGGTGGGAGTTGCTTCCCACCAAGTGTGCAAAGGAGCCTTGGGGCTCTGTAACCCAGGGTTCTCCGTATGGATTCTCTCATTGCAGAAACATCAGTGATATCCTTATGGTGAGGGTACTGCCTGTGACACCTGCTGGCCTGTGTTCTGTCCAACCCACAGGATTTTGAGAAGCACTGGTTAAGGTTTTTACACGTCCCTGGGAGGACAGCCCAATAAATGACATCAAATAGGGGCTACTGCTTACTAATTGTAGTGATTCACATACCATGAAGCAGTTAACAGTGATTTGTCCTTTGAGCAGATTTAGGTGTATACATTTTAAGAAACCTTCCAAAGCACAACCTCTGCAGCAGATTTTGTTACTGCAGAGCTGTATAAAGCCTTAATTATAAATGCACCTTGAGTGTCTGCTTCCTTCTGTGCTAATGGGTGGAAGCCTGAGGAGTAATTAGTTTGTCACAGAGCCAGTTTCTTAGTAATGATTGATAAATGGTTGTTGTTACATGGCCCACAGATACAGGGTGCATACCAGCACTACAGCAGTGCTTGTAGGAGGTTGCTGGAGCTGCCTGGTCCATCCTGATGTACGTGAGCTCTGTGTTTTGGCTGCTGTGGAAAATACGCTGAGATTCTGAGAAAGCTGTTCAGACCCAGAAGGGAGCAGCTAAAGTGAATCATTCTGATGTACAGATCGTGAAGGCAGACATTCACATGAATCTCTTTGTCCAGACATTTGATTAACTTCTTTTTGTTCATAATTTCAGAATCGATTCAAATTCTGTTGGAATCCACAGGACGCTGCTTTGGCTTAAATCACTGGGCCAATCAAATACGTTCAGAACGCGATGCTGGTGTAAGAAATAGCGTGCTGCCTTTTTATGCTGCTTTAGCATTTATATGAAAGGGATGTAAAGTTCACCAGGCAGAGCCCTAAAGCGAAGTAGGTCTTGTGCTAAGTGCAGTAGAAAACAGATTTGCAAATGTTGTGGTGATTAGCATAGCTGAAAATGCTTATGGAGGCTGAAAAGGACAGCAGTCATTCTGCTTATTCAGAGCTTCTGCTGAAAGCAGGAAATTTCTGCTGCTTTGATGTTTGCCTTTGGCTTACCTTCTTTTATAATATAAATGAAAATGCAGCTTAATTGTAATTAATTAGTTAATTAGCAGTGTCTTTTAGCTGCTTTGCAGTAGTTTTTCACAGTATGGTTTGCTGCGTGCTTTTTTATTGTGCCATGAATAGAAGATTCCCAAGTACCTCACTTTCACTGGCAACTTTGCTTCTTTATTAAAGACTAATCAGATTAATATCTGATCGATTTCTCTGCTATGTCTCTGCCGTACCATTCAGGATTTAATATAAAGTAAATAATTAAGATCTCATATATTCATAACAACCATAAGAAAAACTTAGAAGCACACACTTATACAAAGAAGAAGCAGTAAGTGAGAAGCCCAGCATAATGAGTAAGAGAGTGAAAACCGCTGTGCTTAACGAAGCCCTCTGTGACTTTCTTTTGGACGAGCAGGTCTAAGTAGCAGGATGGCACAATTTATACATCAATGTTTTTCCTGAAGAGCTGCTCTCTAAAAACTGACCACTGCTTTGTAACGGTGGATCTGTTCATTTGCACCAACCCAAAGCTCGTACGCGTTAACACGAATTGTTCCCAGACTCAGAAAGAAAGCAAAAGCATTCCAGAAGGCGAACTATTAAGAATCTCACCTGGTAGGCACTGCCCTGCTGTTCCTTGAAGGCTGGCAGAAACATTTTGTCCATCAAGTCAGAACCCTTCCAAGGTAAGCTCAGCAGAAACTCCGACCTCTCATTTCTCTAGCAAGAGTAAACAATAGGGAGGCTTAGCAGCAGCCCGCCGACGGCTGCACCAGCCCTGTTCATGGCACCGAGTCTGTATTTACATGTGACTTCCCCTGCACATACATACACATAATCCTTTAAGCTTCAGCTGCACGCTGCTATTGGCGGAGAGGGCGGTTGCAAAACCACAGTGATATCGTGGCACGGTTGTGGCAGAGGGGTGCAGGGGTGCTGGGCACGCAGCCCAGTGCTGCCAGAAGGTCTGTTCTGTGTGCCACCGTGTCACCACGCAAGGGTTTTGTTGTTGTTTCTGAAGTACAAACTGGAAGGATGTGACTGTGGTTGAGGAATAGCCCAGCCCTTGCTAGAGTTGCATAACCAGCGACAAATAGTGTCTGCATCCATTGGAGGAGCTGCTTTTGTACCAGAAAGGACTTTTTACCAGGGAAGTAGCTATTCTGCAAAGCCGTGTGTGCCAACAGCAGAGCAAACCTTGGGCACAGTGAGCTGAACTTCCCTTACAGCTCTCCCAGCTGTATTTGTCAGGAGCCAAACCCTGCCCAGCTCTGCAGAGCACTGCTGTGCAGCAGAAGCCTGCAGCATCCAGCTGGCTTGGGAGTTTAAACAGAAAGCTGCATTAGACCTGAAGCAGAGCCAACCTGTATTTGAAAAAATACTAAAATATTTACTATATACTTAGTTTATATTTAGTATAAAATATACTAAAATATAAACCTCAGAATTATTTTAAGCATTCAGAAAGAACACTTTCATTAAAAAAAAAAAGAAAAAAAAAGGAAAATGCTTCATTATTCTTTAACGAGATTGTAGGTGAATGTAAATTCCTTTCATTTGAATAAAAAGAGTGTAGTATTATGATTCTGTGTGCTTAGCTTGAATACAAATTGCCGCTAAATAATTTGCTTTGTAAAACTGTAATGAAGAATTAATTTATATTTTTCTCCCTGCCCACAGCAGAGAAGCGTAGTGGATGCTTTTCCTTGTTAACCCAAAAGGAGCTGATGCCTAAAATGAATGATGAATGTGTACATAATACACATGTATGTCTGCACCCTGCTCTGCGGTGCTGCAAAGCGGAGGCACGGCGTGTTTGAGGTGCTGTCATCTCTGACAGCTGCTACAAACTGACGGGCAGTTCTGCTCTGATTTTCTATTTGTGGCAGCTAAGTGAGACAAAGACGAATAAGTTCAGTTTTGTTCACCAAAGTTGATCTTTTAGGAGTGCTTGGAACAGTAATTCAGCTTTAGGTAGAGCCACTGCTCAGGAGGGATTAAGCAATTCACAAGGGTAACGTAGAAGTAGTTATTGAGGACTGTGGTTGGTAGGGTATTGCTTGTGTGAGCTGAAGTGGTTTTGTTGAAGCATCACTGTGGCATCAGTGAATTAGTGGGTGTGTGTCTGGGCCTTCGCTACCCACGTGGAAGTTGTCTATAAGGAATAGTTTTAACTGGAAGGGTTGTCAGAACCTCAGCGTGCTTTGAGTCCAAGCTGACATCACGGTGCCTTCGGAGGATTGCCAACAGCCCTCACTGGTATTTGATAGAGAGGTTGCAATGTGGGCAGGTATCTCCTTGTTCCATTGCACAGATGCTTGCAGTCACCGATGGATGCTTTTTCCTGTTTTTCAGTGTAAGTGTTGAACTGAGAAGTAACGTGAAGGGAATCTACTCAGGACTTGTGTTATCTGTGTTTTACCTTAGTATGAGAATTCAGCAAGTTCATATTTGGCTTAACGTGCCCAAAAATGCTTTGGTGATTACCTAAAATAAATAAATTGTATTTGCAAATTAGCTGAAGCAAGCAAGACTTCCCAGCAAATATCAGACGAGTTGCTTTAGAGATGTCTTTTGTATGAGCACAGCTTGTTGCCCCTTAAAGGAGAGCACAGTTGTACCTGAGCTGCAGCACAGTGGTTGCTCACTAATCATTCACCAGCAGTGCCTGCTGTGGGCATTTCAAGCAGCTTCTCCCAGGGCTGTGGTGAAGCTGGCAGCCCTGCTTGTAGCATCAGCAGCTTGGTTTCAGAAAGGACCACAAAGCTGTACTTTTGAGGGTGCCTCACAAGCAGCCCAAGCTGCTGAGACAGGTGCCTGAGTTTAATATTCCTAACGCCGGCTCCATTGGTAAGGGAGCAGAGCAGAGCAGTTGGAGAGCAGCGACAGCATCTGTCCCATCACAGCGCCTTCCCCAGCTGACGTGACTCAGGATGCTGATGTGGTTTTAGTGACAATCCCTCAGACCTGCTAACCCAGCTAATTCCCAGCGGCTTTCTGGGAGCGTTCTGAGCTTGTGATTCATTTCAGTAACATGCTTTATATTTTTTTTTAAACACAGTGATTCTGTTTCCAAAAACATGGTTGTATGCTGAAAGCATGGGACAGAAACTGATCGTTGCATACAAGTGGGACTGAAAATAACGGGCAAAGCAGGAAGGAGTGCTTCTTCCTTTTCTTTTCAAGGGATTCTTCACTTCATTTATACCTGACCTCTAATCTGCACGGCCAGAGCGCTGACACGCACTGCTGTGTGGATGTCTGAGGGACCACAGTGGTGTTTGTCTGCGTGTTTTGTTTCTGCATACTTTGGATAATTGTATGAGCTATTGTTTGAAAATGTCATTAGATATTAAGTCAGTTTAGTTAACCATTGTGTGCTAATCCAAACATGCAGGATATAATACCCTGCTCCTGACCTTTCCCTGCCACCGGGCTCTTAGAAGTTCTTCCTTCTGCAGACCTCAGGTGGTTGTGGAGGGGAACAGCTTTCCTCCTCTGCTTGCTCTGCAGAGACCACAGGTCTTGCACCTGCAGGTGCTACGGCTTGCTTCCCAGCAAATATCACAGGTGCTGTTTAAGCAGGGCTGTCCTTGATAAATAGTGGGGTGCAGCTCCTTGTCCTTAAACACTTAAAAAAATCTTATACCTAAAGCAGCAGGGTTGCATGCAGGGCTGCAGGCAGCTACAGGATTTCACAGCCAGCTGACCATGAAGCACCTCCTTGCTTCCAGGAGGCTCAATTGAACATTACCTCTCAACGCCCTCCAGATAATGGGGAAAATTACTGCACAGAAATCTTTTAAGATAAGGCTACGGTTGAGAAACTGTCTTTTAAATGATATTAATTTAAAAATAGAACCACCATAATATGCTTCAAACTTCAGGAGTCAGTTAAAGCATCATTCCCTCTAGTTATTCATTTTCATATTGACACTTCTGCTCAAGCTGATTTGAAAATACAATTTATTAATGAATCTCTCCCCCAGCAGGTATTTTGATTGTATGAATCTATTGTATTTGATGTTAATAGCAAACTTTAAGGGGAAGAAAAACCAGGGGAAGAATGCTATCAAAATGAATAAAAATTGGACTGCTTGTACCATGAGAAAATGAGGTAATTACAGCTATAAAATCCTGGTCTTCAAGAATGAAAACAAACAGCACACACGCTATGCGGAAATGGGAGAGCCATTATATTGGGATAGATTCCTTGCCATCTTTTCTCCATAATTTTTTTTTTTAATAACGTGGGGATGTTTTTTATTATTTTTTTTTGTTGTTGTTGTTATTAAGAACTAAAACTGTTGAGAATGTTCCTGGCAGCTTTGCAAGAAGAGAGGGCTCGGTTTGCAAACATTGTAGCCCAGGAAAATATTTGGGAAGCAGTAACACTACTGCTAGGAGCAGCTTTTGATGCATTTCTTATGCAGCGTTGCAGCCCCCATGGCCAATGGGGGTCCATTTGTTTGTTAACAAATAAAGATTAGTTAGCCTGTCCAATTTGGAGGCAGTCCACTTAAAATCCACTTCCAGGCTTGCTCTTCATTTGAGCATAAAAGTCATAAAAAAAAAAAAAAAGGATGTGTGAGAACAAAGGTTTAATGCAGCAGCTCCATACCTCACAGTAGCAGCACAGGCTGTTGGGTTCCTTTAATTGACAGCCATTTGGTTTCCTCTGACACGGGTTGGGCTGGTGTTGCACAAACCCTATCAGATCGATCTGTAAAGTACAGCATTTTCTGTGGAGCCTCCAAAATCCTGCTACAGACAGGACTTGTGTCCTGCTCTGACACCCAGTAGAAATAAAAGGCTGGAGTTATATGCCACTAACTTGCTTAATTAATTGCATGTCTCTGTAGTTAACCTCAAAGGGTGGAAAGCATTGCTTTAAAGACGACCCTACAGAACAGGTGAGTGAGCTGCTGCTTGGGTGCCTCTTCAAAGGGGAACACCCAGCGAGGCAGGCAGGAAAGCAGCTCCTGAGCTCCATGCTTCCTCCTGGCAGCCTGGGGCTCACAAGGCAAAATGAGCTGGAAATGGCTCCTTTCTGTTGTTAGTTACACAACCAGCCGCCAGCGAATAAAGCTGGAGGTGGAGCGGCCCTGTGAGGTTCTCTTATTAAGCTGTGCCTGATGTGGGTACTGAAAGGACCTTCCCTACCTTTGGTGCTTTTCCCTTTCTGGCCAAGGGCGAGCCCTGCTGCAATCTCTGGACGAGGAGCCGTGCAGCCAGCTGGAGCACGCAGTCACACAGCACCTGTTGGCCACTCAAACCTTTGCAGTCACTCCAGATTTACACCTTTCTGCTGAAGCAACAGAACACGGCTTCTTTCTGTCCCTTTCTGTTTGTCATTTTTCTCTCTCCTGCAGCATCGGTGCAGTTGATGAAGAGAAAAACATGAAAATGTGATTTTTTTTCAGAACCGTGCAGTTATTTCTTTGGGATAAGTTGCAGCTCCCAGAATTGTGCCTCCTGCAAATCATCCACTATAAGCCTTGCCTTTGAGCTGTTGCACCACATGCCATGCATTGACCCTAAGCTGCTGGATTGCTGTCTGCTTCCATGGCTGGTTTCTCCCACTGCTCTGTCCATGGCTTTGTTGTGGCTTTGGGACTTCAGTTTGGGATTTGCAAGTTCCCTGTGCTCTGGATTATATAAGTGTGTCTGTGCCCTTCCCTTATCTTCAGGTGTCAGCAGTAAATGATCATTTAAAGCAGGATTAGGAGGCAGGTTTGAAGGTAGCTGTTGATTTAATTATTCAAAAAGGATCAAAAGGGAATTTATGCATTTAGCACTACCAGTTTTTACACTTATGTGCAATTACATCTGCAGTAAGTATGAAACTCTGAAATGTCGTCTGTGCCCAACTCGTACAAGACTTTGTCATTAGCACTGTAAGAATTAAGTCAGCTCCTGTAATCAGCAGCAGCAAATATTGTCAGACAATGTATAATGGAAATCTGTGAGAGCCAATATTTAATGTCTTCAAATGAGAAAAGCATCCAGGGTAACTTTTGAAATCGCTTCACTTGAATTCAGTATATATTCAAAAAATGTTAAGGTAAATACTACGGTATTTTTATCTGATAGCTTAGAATTAATCTTTGGATTTCTTTATTATTTTTTTTTTCCCCAAGAAAGAACCTTTGAGTAATGGAGAAACAGGGGATTCATATTGCTATCACCCTAAAACATGACACCGACAGAAGAATGAATTAGAAATAATTCCATTTTCATGTTTAAACCATTTGAATCCCAAATGCTTTTAATTTAAATGCTGTAGGCCTTAATGCTGCAAGTTAACTTTGGGTCGTTTAATACATATATAAAAACCAGGACAGAAGCCCACTGCAATGTGTTGGTCTGCCGTGGTCTGGGCTTCCCTCCCACAGCTGCTTCCAGGGCTTTTCTTTATTGCTGAGCATTTCAGAGTGCTGCTTCCAACTCAGTTATGTGTATGTTAAGTAAATGACAGAGCAGCACCAAACTTCAGACCATCAGTAGATTTCCTTTGCTGCGTTTGGGAGATCTCTGATGTTTTTAAAGCTCACTGCTGGCTAATCACAGAACATTCATCAGTTTAAACCAAATTCAAAGAGTATCACAAAGTTACACCTGCTGAAGTCTTTAATTAAAGTGACTTAATCTCTAGCAATCTCTACATACATAGGCAGAAAGTAGCTGTCTTTAAAATGTACTTTGAACTGCCATTCATCTAGAAATCAAAGATTTGTAAATGAAACTTGGTGTGCTAGACGTGATGAAGTTGGACTGGAATGCCTTCTTGTTGGCATAGCCTGGTTTTCCTGGTGCTGCCAGCCCTGGGAGTGTGTTCTTATTAAGAATTATTTATAGAGGGTGAACATTAAAAGGCTCTCTAAAAATAAATGTATCAACCATATATCATCTGAAAAGTATTCAAATATAGATTTGGGCACGTAGTCGAGAACTGCTGCTCCCATTAGTAAGTACTTTTCTGCCGTTAAGCAATTGTGGTGTCTAATTAGTTGTTATTTTGAGGTGTGATTATGAAACTTGTATTTCTTCTTATTTTTGTTTTGTTTTAAATCTGGTGAAGTGGGTCAGACAACTGAATGCTGTGTAATGATAATCCTTTCTCCTTCCTGGGTCCTGTCATTAGCTGGATCTGCTTAATTCAGCCCTCCTTCCTTGCTGGCAGTGGCAACAGATGGCCTTCACTTTCTTTTCTGTGTTAAAAAGAGGTTGGAAGATTCCATCTCCTCAGCATTAAAGGCTGATCTTGGGATCACTGAGGTTGGAAAAGGTGACTGAGATCAGCCACTCCAACCTCTAGCCCATCACCCCATGGCCTTTGTTTGCTGGGTACTCTTTAGCATTGGTTCCTCCTTTTTCTCAGTTCTCAGGCTTTCACCTACAGACGTCCCCCATATTACTGAACAAATGTATGGATGTTTTTGTCCGTATGCTTTGTCTGCTACAGATGTGCTGAGCTCAGTTACTACCAGCAGTGAGTGCAGGGGAGCCCAAAGGGAGATGAGCATTTCTTGATATCGCGGCGTTCTCAGACATCAGCTCTGAGATGTCGAAGACATTTGGTTTTGATTTTCCTTCCACCGCCTGCAGAGCTCACCAAACTCGTTTGGGCTGGGAGGAACGAGGCAGTGCAAAGAGCTTTGGCTTGCTTTAAATGTGGGTAGTCGTGCTGTTAGGATGCAGTTACATTCTCAAATGCTGTGTGCTTGGCTTCTTTCTTTTCTCTCTTTTTTTCTTTAGACACTTTCTCTTTCCCTTTGTACTCTGTTTTGTTTAGAGTGGTAACTTTACAACGTTTTTGTTTGGGATGCTGTTATCTCATGTTTATAAACTTTTGAAGGAGACAATTAAGTGTGTCCTTCCTGGGGTCTAATTCTACTGTAAAGTAAAGGACCCACCGCAGCAGCTGAGGAATCCTGGTGCTTTGCCCCAGGAAAATGAGAGCTAACACCTCTCAGAGCTGCACTCAGGGAAGGGAGCAGAGCGGCAGCTTTGTATCTCCTTATGCAAAAAAAGCCCTTTGTGTAATCCTGCTATGCAAAGGCATGGGGAGTTTTTCATGGCTTTAGCATCTGGCTAGAGAGCTCACACTGCTTCAGCTGTGTCCTGCAGGTAAGGAGCCTCTTCTGGGCCAACTTCAGCTTCTGGAATGCCAGACTTACTACTGTTTTTTGTAACAATGGCCCCTAAAAATGCATTGAATGCATTTATGATTGGCCTTCAGTGACGAATTTAAATGAGAAGCTTGTCTTGTTCTAGCTGATATCTTACTCAATATATCCCTTCTGTTGTTATACACGGAGCAGACTGTATGGTGATTGTGGTTGAGTATTTTAAAGTAATAGAAAACAGACAGAAAAAAATTGTTGCATGTTTAAAAAAATCATAAAATGAAAGAGGAAGTGCATCATTTATTATAACACCATGTAGACTAATGAAAAACATGCTGTGGGCTGGAAATTTGTAAAGAGCTGAGCTCCAAAAGTTTCCATTCCCAAAAATGCCTCGGGGCCTCCGGCTGTAAGCTTGTGGCTAAAGAGGCCCTATGGTAAACTGACATAAAAAGTAACTACTCCATAAACATTCAGCTCCTGTTTCACAATAGCTGGAAATAAGTTTTTAGAAAGTGTTGCCTGTTGATACTGACTATACTTTATCAAAGTGAAGGGAGGCGGTGCGTTCACGGCTTGAGCATCAAATTGGGATTTAAACAGTGGGGGAGATGGTTGTTGGGTGCAGAAATGTTGTGTTCGTTGTGCAGAGGAGAAAATGAAGAAGTCAAAGCGGTTTGCTGAGCTGCAGAGCTGCACTCGGTGCTGGCAGGGCCGGTGTTAGCATTAAATGATTCCTGGCTCTGGTCCTTGGCTCATTAAGCAGCGAGAGCAGCGCGCTCTGGGCAGCCTTTGTCAGCGCGTAAAAGCCTTTCATGTGGGCTGTGGGCTTCCAGTGTTAGCTGCTGTGGTGGCCTGCTGGTGAAGGTGGGGAGGAGAGCATGACTGCCTCCATTCCTTCTTGGCAGGGAGGACAAGCAGCTTGCAGAGGTGATGCCGATTCACTCCTCCAGGTGCTGATGTTCCTCCAGTCTGTTTCTGCAGTTTCTCTGGATTTCTCTTGAGTCCTTGAGTGCCTGAGGATCATGGGCTGCATCCCCCAAGTCTAAATTTCCCAAAGCTATAGCTGTAGGACATTGGAGGAATCTCTTGTATGAGCCTACATGGGCGACCTGTTTGAGCTCTGAGGAGGAGGTGCAGCTGGGAGTGAACAGCAGCTGCCTTCACTCACCCCTCCAGGGGGACTGAGTGAATTTGCCAGTACAATTTCACAGAAGTAAATAGAAAATAGAAATCGCAATGCTGGTCAATATTTTCACTGATAGAAAACATACAATTGATAGAAAACATACAATAAAGCCTGTACTCACATGAGGTGCAGCCCAGAAGGACGTCACTTGAAGATGGAACCACTGGAAAGGAAAACAAAACAAAAAGGTGAAACAATTGCTCCTAAGTGGTTGAGAAGCAAATTTCATCCATTCTGATAAAGAGAAATAGGTTTTATTTATCTTCCCTTCCACCATGTCACGCTTTTTAGCACTTTTTTAGTATTTACAATACAGACAGTTGTATCAGAAAGTTGAGAACATAATTGTTTGCATGCTTGGCATTGAATTGCTGTGCAATACTGCCGACTGACACAGCTGAACTGATGATAAAGTGAGTGAATCACTGTGGTGTCAATGGCAGTATTTACATTTTTGAGGTGAATTGAGGTTCCTGAGCAAAAGCTGTGTATTGATGTGAAGATAGAAACACACAGCTTCCTTCTCCCTGACAGCTCACCATGCTGGGTGAGAGCTGAAGCACAGCATTTCCAGTATGAAGTATCTGACATGTAAGGAGATGCTGTGACAGATGTCAGCTCAGTTGTTGCTGCACAGGGCGGTGGTTTGGGCATGCTGTGTTGTGCCCCATCACTTGAGTTAGCCAGGATGTGTCTGCTGCTTTGTGCAGTGGGAAAAGTGATGGAGAGTGCTAAGGTGAGTGAGCTGCAGCCACACGAGGGAGGGATGTGTGGCTGCTTAGAGCGTGGGCAGCATTTCAGTGTGCTGATGTAACTTATCTAAAGGAGAGGCATGAAGTAAAGCACTGATTTACCTGTTTCTTACAGTAAAATAAAAATAAATAAATACATTCATAGAATCACAGAGTTGCTCACGTTGGAAAAGACCTTGAAGATCAAGTCCAACCACAACCTGACCATACTGTCCTGATTTTAACAACCCTCCTCTAAGTCATGTCCTGAGCACCACATCCAGATGGTTTCTAAACACATCCAGGGATGGTGACTCAACAATTAAAGAGGTTTAAGCATTTTAGCTTAGATAAATGAATGAACCCATGGTATCAAATGTGTGTTTTCCCCTATAAAGAAAGATTAATTAGTTCAAGGTACTTAACTGTGACTGAATGTTGAGGGAAGCGGAGTATTTCCAAAGAAACATTATAAGGTAGCATGCTGCACCAGCTCCTGGGCTGCAGGCCGTCCAGCAAAGCACTGCTCACGCTGTACTTACTTCTAATGCCTGAAGCATTTTCCAGGTGTGGTTTCACACCCCACCTTTTTTTTTTTTCCCCTATCACTGGCTCAGATTTAGAATTCACCACTCCTGACAGTTGTCTGATGGACACACATGTTCACACAGCATGGCTCTGGCATCCACAGAGCGCTGCCCGAGCCTCGAGCTGCACTGCTCTCATTCATCCTCCCTGCTTAAAAGACAGAAGGAGAAGCAGCTCCGTTTGCAGTAGGTGTGGGTGTTGTGTTTGCTGGCACTGTGTCTGTGTGGCATTGGAGCCCCGCTGTCCCGTGATGAGGAGCTGGGGCTGTGTCAGGGCACTCTGTGAGCAGCCTCAGTCGCTTGGCATTGGTTTGTATGGCAGGAGAAGCCCTTTTGTAATTAAGTCGCCCATGTGTTTTGCACAGTGCTTAATTCCTGCGCTGTGTGATCGGATGAAAATAAATCAGTAGCAATTGCTTGGCAGCAACCTCCTGCAATCATTTGCTCTGAAGAAACTCAGCCCGCGGTAGCATTAAGTGAAGGAAGGGGTTTGGCGAGGACACGAAAACCTTTCCTTTTTTTTAATGTTCTCATGGGATCTTTCACTTTCACACAGGCGAGCGCCCGGCTGGCCCCATGGCCGTGATGTAACACTGCTGTCCAAAGGCTGTCCCAGCTGTGGGGTGTCACAACCTCTATTTCCTCAGCTTAGATTTGCAATCTGACCATATGATTCAGATGAACCACAACTGCCCTCACTTTAACGTGATGTATTTGGTTTGAGAATACCATCGTGTGCTCCGAGTTTGAGCTCCTAAGCAAATGAAGCTGATTTGCACTGATGAATGGGGAACACTTACCAACCTGATCAAAAAAGAAATCTGCAAGGAAAGCTGACACAATTTTTAACTCATTGGAAATACTTCATCAACATAACCTTAAAAAGAAATGCAGAAGATTTTTAAGTAAGAGAGGTATTTCTGAAGCTGAGTGTAGCTCTGCAACAGTACTTGTAAGAGCAATTGCACGTGCTGATGGGGGTGTTGCTGCAGACAGGGTTCAGCACAGAGGCTGAGGAGCAGGACTGGCTCTGCTCAAAATGTGATTTCATGTGGGCTCCTGTTCTTGTGCAGCTTACAGACAGGCTTCTGGATCTGAAGGAAAGCCAACCAGATTTGTAAAGATGCTTATCATATTCTCTGGCCCTGTTCAAATCACAGAAAATATTAAGGCTGACAAGCCTGGCTTGATATGCTTCTCAGTGCTTTTCTGCTAGATTACAGCGTGCAGAGCTCAGCCCAGGCACTGGTTTGCAGTCTCTGGAGCAGCAGGCTTGCTGCCGTGGGTGCTTCATTGTAGCCACGTGTGTCTGCTCTGCATCCATATACAGGCACTACAAATGGCAGCACCACGGTTCGGTGCCTTTACAGGTGGCTTGAGTATGATGGAAATCTTAATTCCACCAGCAAACAACTTTAATACTGCGATGTCCTGATTGATTCTTGGTTCCCGTGCATAAAGCATGTCAGTTCCTCTTTCTTGCCCACTCTTCTTAGCTTCCTCTGTCCCACTGAGGTGGAGGCACATCACAGTTAAGCGGGGGTTTATTTCTTGTTGGTTTATTGTTCCTTATCTAGGGGCACCTGAGTCCTGGGAAGGCAGGCAGGAGAAGTGCTGTGCCCAACAGGTAGCTCCAGAAAGGATGGGGTGATTTAAAAATGTAAGAGGAGAGAGCTGGCTTTGTGTCTGGCATTGGTACACAGCACCAGTAGAGGTGAGGACTGCAAGAGGGAGGCAGAAGATGGGATGGAGCATCCTGCACTGCTCTGAATGGAAAAGCACCGAAGGGAGGAGGGTTGAGTGTTGTTACACCGAGCAGAAGAAGCAGATTTCACAGCGAGGTGGAAGTGGTGCAGCACGATATTGCTGCAAACAGGTTTCACTGGCCCACCCCTTTGTTTTGACATAAATATGCTAAAGCTATGAAGAGGCATGAAGGCCAGGTGAGTGTTTCAGACCTGTAGCAATCCAGATTCACTGCTGTGCTTTGAAGCCTGAGCTTGGTGTTTGATATTTTGTTTGAAGACTTCACCATTTCACGTTTAGTTCTGCCCTGCTGGCATTTCCCTGGTTTTCCTTGCAGAGCTCCAGAAAGCACAAATATATGAAGGTTTTGTGCAGTGCCTGTACCTCTCACAGCTGCCCATTCTCCTTTTCTCTGCAGTGGGCCCAGTTTCCTCAGTGCTGATATCTAGCATCTTCACATCAAATCTGTAATTAATACAGCTACTTAAGAAATAAAGGCATTTGCACTGTGTTACACAGAGGGCACTAATATTCCCTATTTGTGCACGTACAGATGATGACAGTTGAATTAAGGGTTTGTAGTACACCAGGTCTCACATTCCAGGGCTGTTTGTTTCCAAAGCTATACACAGAGCTTTGCCTGGGTCATACATTTCTCTAGGTGAAATGAAGGCTGATTAGAATTTTAATACTAAGGAAGGAAATGGTCTTGGGTAGTGCACTACAGAGCAGAAGAGGCCTTCTGTTAATACACAAGAGTATCACTGTTTTCTTAAACTTTGCCTTGCTACTCGATTCCTGCCTGTGCCTAGAAATCATAACTCTGAGGCCCCGTTTGATAATGCTCAATGTAATCCTTGTCCTACTTTACATCATTTCCAGTAGTAAATAATATCTCAATTATAAAACTGCTAGATAATATCCTTGTGCAGCCGAATGATAGGCAGTGCTGCAAGCTTTGGTGGATGAACAGAGCCGTGACGCTGTATCACATTGGCCCAAATTGCTTCTTTCTCTCTTTAAATTAGATGAAATCTTTAGGTTGGACGAAATCAAGGGGCTTTTCTCGTGAAATGCTTTTGCTGTGACTCTGTGTTCCTCTCTTCGTGACATAAACGGAGCTTTCAGTGCTGCAAAAGATTGCTGTGTGTCAGCGTGTGCTGCTCATGCTTGTTGCACATTTATGGCAGCCGTTCCAGCGCAGCGCCGAGTCACATTCTGGCATTAGGACATGAAAACTGATGCTTGTCCCTCGGTATTTCCGAGTGTGTTATTAGTGTGCTACAGCTAATCATTTTCTTACAAGGGAATGAAAAACCTTCCCTTGTTTAGATGCTACGTGTGTATTTATAGGCCCATAATGCCCAAATAGGGTGGTAAGAGTTGGCTGCTGCTCCTGTTGGTTTCTGTGGTTTTGTTTCATTGTCCAGAAGAAGTGACAACATTCTCAGCTCCCAGCACCCATCAGCGTGGTTTGTCTGACAAAGAGTGCCATCTGTCTCTTTACTTTGCCCTTTAGATGTTAGAATTCATTCTTTATCATCAAGAATTTTTGTTTGCCGTTCTCACATCCTTAGAACATGTCAGCAGTGGCTCTCAGAGCCCTATTTGTCTCACTCAGTGCTTTCTGGACAGTCTGTTTTGCAAGTCACTTCAGGTTGTTTCCATGATGAGGCTTTCTTATTGCGTTTGATTTCGCAGCTAAAAGGACTGAAGACTAAAGGCTCTTTTTGTGTGTATGCGAGGTGTTTTGCAGCCTCGTTTGTTTAAATTCTGGTTATCAGTCTGGAGAAGGAGGCACGGAAATGCTGCAAAACTTGTCATCTTTTTAGTGGTTTTAGTGGCTTCTCCTTTGCAGCATTTGTTGCATGTAGATTTTTTGCACGTTAGCCAAAATCAGACTTTTTATGACTGGGCTTCCAAATGTGTTGAAAGCGTATGTTGCCATGTAATTTATTGTACAGCACTCAAATAACTTTATATACCGAACATATGCTAAACCAGAACTCACCAATGGCATCTCCCTCACTTTAACTTTTAAAGTGTTTCTTAAATAGAAAGAAAGACAGGGAGCTCTTGGAGCGGTCCAGAGGAGGGCC